AGGCTTAAATTCTTAAAACGACAAGTCGGGTCGTTACAACTGGTCTGCGCATGGTAGGGTGTGCCTGTTTTGTATGTGACCCCATATCGAGATAACAACGTTGAAAATTATTTATTCATAAAGTATGTGTCTTGGTCACTGATTATTACTCTAGGAGTCCCAAATCTAGTGATGATATTTCTCTTAAGGAATTTGCACACAACCTTAGAATCATTCGTTGTTGTTGAAATTGCCTCTACCCATTTTGAGACATAATCTACAGCTATCAAAATGTATCGACATGATTGTGAGGAAGGAAATGGATCCATAAAATCTATACCCCAAACATCAAATATTTCATATATGAGTATGGAATTTAAAGGCATTTCATCTCTTTTTGAAATATTACCTGCCCTTTGGCATTTGTCAGATGTCAACACATATGATCTTGCATCTCTGAATAAAGTAGGCCAATAGAATCATACTTTTAAAATCTTGGAAGATGTTCTGGTGGAACTGTGGTGTCCACCAACTGCTCTGTCATGGCAATGACTCAAAATATCTTTCATCTCTGCTTCTCGAACACATCTTCTCACAATATTATCTGAACAAAATTTAAACAAATAAAGATTGTCCTAGAAGTAATGTCTAGCATCGGTCCTTAGTTTTCTTTTTTGTTGCGGAGAAAACTCCTTTGGTATCCAATGTCCTACTAGGTAGTTTGCAATGTCAGCAAACCAAGGTGCCTGTTTTGCATAGAAAAATATGTTAATTTGGAAATTCTTCTCTGATTTCGACTGTCTCAACGGGTGGTAATTCCAATCTAGATAAATGGTCTGCCACTTGATTTTCTATTCCTTTCTTATCTTTTATTTCAAGATAAAATTCTTGCAACAAAAGTATCCGTCTTAGCAGTCTAGGCCTTGCCTCCTTTTTTGCCAAAAGATATTTTAATGCTGCATGATCAGTAAAAATAATGGCCTTTGTTCTAATTAAATAAGAACGAAATTTATCAAAGGTAAATACTACCGCCAGTGGTTCTTTTTCTGTTGTAGCGTAGTTTAATTGAGCTTCATTCAAATTTCTTCTGGCATAGTAAATTGGATGAAAGATCTTGTCCTTTTGCTATCCAAAAACAGGCTCCAACAGCAGTATCACTTGCATCACACATAACTTCAAATGGTGAATTTCAATCTGGAGAAACAATAACTGGTGCTTTGGTCAATTTTTCCTTAAACGATTCAAAAGCTTTCTTGCAATTTTCAGAAAATTCAAACTGCACATCTTTCATCAAAAGATTTGTGAGAGCTTTTGAAATTTTTGAGAATTTGTTTATGAATCTCCTGTAAAAACTAGCATGTCCCAAAAAACTTCTGATGCCTTTCACAGTTCTGGGAGGGATCCTGCAATTAAATCAATTTTTGCTCTATCTACTTCTATTCCTTCATAAGTGATTTTGTGCCCTAAAATAATTTTTTCTTTAATCATAAAATAATATTTTTCCCAATTCAAAATCAAATTTGCCTCTTCACATCTTTCAAGTACAAGAGTCAAATTATGCAAATAATTTTCAAAAGTTTTTCCACAGAGTAAAATCATCCATAAAAATTTCTAAAAGTTTTTCTGTCATATCTGAAAAGATGGCGGACATGCAACGTTGAAAAGTGGCCGGTGCGTTGTATAGCCCAAAAGGAATTCTTCTATAAGAATATGTACCATGAGGACAAGTGAATGTTGTTTTATCTTGATCTTCAGGGGCTATTGGAATTTGGTTATAGCTAGAGTAACTATCAAGAAAATAGTAAAAACCATGACCCGCTACCTTTTTCAACATTTGATCAACGAAGGGTAAAGGAAAGTGATCTTTTATGGTAGCATCATTTAACCGTCTGTAATCAATACAGACTCTAATCAATACAGACTCTCCATCATGGGACTGTCCGGGTAGGTATGATGTCATGCCCCAACCTCGGGAAGTGTGACCGGCGCTCAACCGAGTGAACGCGGCCGACCAAGCCTGTTAGATACTATCTACCCAATTAACCCATGATCAAGAAAGGACGTAATTTCATTAATTAGACAGAAGGAAGTTCATGCATACAATATTAATCCGTTTCATTAGTTATTTCGCCTTTAAGTCTCAAAATACACCGATTCTTATAGTCTGAGAGGAACAAGTGATCAAACACAACATATACTTGTTTAACATTCCCAACGCCCATATACAGCCCACATAGTGTCTACGGAGCCTCTAAAGATACAAAAGAGAGTAAAGATAATGCCGGCAACAAGGCCCCGGCTATACCTCAAAAGTGATCAATATGAACAAAAGGTACAATACAAGACCACGGAAAGAAATGGGGCTAACCGAGTCCGCTGAGAAGAGGATGCATCACTATCTGTGATCAACACTGTCTGTTATGTAACCACCTACATCCATTTAAAGATGCAGCGCTCCCGGCAAAAGGGACGTTAGTACCGTCGAATAGCACTAGTTTGTAAAACTAAACACCAACTCAATAGAATGAATAATAATACAAGAGGAACAATCAAGAATTCAATAAGGGCTTCAAATAATATTAAAACAACAAGTTAAGGATCATATACATTTTCGAGTCAATTTCTATATTATTAGGTTGGGTGGTCTTTAGTACCGATATTTCATAATTCACAATACCTCTGTATTCTTACACGGAGTCTGATCTCGGCCCGATCGGCTAGGCCATCTCATTTGAGACATTACCACAATTTTATTATAACTTCTAGCACAATGCCACCATGTGTGCGGCATAGCGTCCGATCATGGCCCGATCGGCTAGGCCATCTCATTTGAGACATCAACCATTTTTATAATTTCATTCACAATACCACTGTGTTCTTACACGGAGTCCGATCTTGGCTCGATTAGCTAGGCCATCTCATTTGAGACATCACCCATATTCAATCAGTCATCTCAATTCATATTTTTTTCCCATACTTTCAATATAATGGCACGAGTGGCCCCAATTATAAAGTTATTCTTGGCGCTAGACCGTATTCCATAATTCAAGTTCTTTTTCACATCCCAACATTATTATTATCAACAACAATAGGGCTTCCCATTCAAGACGTTAAATTCACATATGAGCAATTTAGGAAATCTTAGACACATAGAAGCTTTTCATACAACTTGGCATAACAACCATTATTTTGAACTTGACATGAAGTCTTAACATTGCTAGCACATATTCCACATTTTGAACGCATCCTCAAATAACAAGATATCATGATGAAGCATTTAGAATAAGGATTGAACTTAAATTTTCCAACACAAACACATTAGAAATCGCCAATTCTATAATGATCAAGGGCTTACTCCAATTACATAAACACTGTGGGGTTCGATTCTAAGAAGAAGAGGGTTTAGCCAAAATACCTCAATTGAACTTCTCAACTCTAAAATGATCCGGAATTCTTAGCAACTTCAATCTATTTTAGAAATATAAAAAGTTGAACCAAAAATTAGGAAGATGATCATGGTTTTAGCTCATTTGAGCATTTTATCAAACACTTGGTGCGCATTAAGGTCCTAAGGCTCTTTTGTGGAAGATTCCATCATTTCTCAACCCACTCTCTACTATTTTTAGCTCACAATCTTCCCACATACTTCAAGGATACATGCATGCAAGGTAAGCACTCCCATTCCCATGAATTACCTTACTAATGGCCCATTCTAGTTACATTTTGAAATTAAGAGTTTGGGTGATAGAATCTTACATCTTAGAAAGAAGACCTAGGTGCCTCTCTTGATAATCTTTAAGATTTTAAGTGAGAATTGAAGAGCAATGTGATGAAGATCACTTCTCCCACTAGGACCCTCTAGCTCACTCTAAAGATATCAGAAAATATGATCAAAATGGTCCATGGGATGTGTTTTAATGAAATAGGGTCGAGTTTAAAAACCCCAAAATTGAAGCTCCGGAACGGGTTTTGCGGTCGCATATGCGACCACATAATGGTTATGCGGTCCACAAAATGACCGCGAAAATGGGTGCCAGAGCTGGAAAGAAACTAACCTGGTCTGCGGTTACTAAGCGGCCCACAGACCTGTTCTGCGGTCGCATAGTGCACCTCAGAACCTCCCTCCGAAAAATCTCAAGGTGGGATATGTGACAAGAATGCGGCCCGCGAAATGTTTATGCGGTCACATAATGGCCGCGAAATTGGACATAAAAAATGCCCAGAAATCTGCCCCACTCTGCGACCAGTCTGCGGTCCTCAAAGTGGTTCTGTGGCCGCAGAATGGGCCGCAGAAATGCGTACTTCAGCCCAACATTTTCCTTCAACTCCCAGTGCACTTTTCAATCCAAAAAGTTTGAACCGCAGCTCGCAAGCTCGCCTCGAAGAATTTTTACTATTATTAACCTTTACGCCTACTTTGGCATCACGGAATCCGTATTTTTAGGAAAAATTTTACAGGGCCTTACATATGAGCTCATTATTTTTATTTTTTACAACAGTCATACTTCCCCTTTTTAGTACTACCTGTACTGGACTCACCCATGGACTGTCTGAGATTAGATTCTAGCTGCCAAGAGTTTTACCACTTCTCTTTTCACAACTTCTTGCATTGCTGGATTTAGCCTTCTTTGTGGTTGAACAATCGGCTTGTAGCTTTCTTTCATCAGTATCCTGTGTGTGCATATGGCTGGGTTGATTCCTTTGATATCTGAAATTGTCCAACCCAAAGCTTTTTTAAGTTCCTTCAGTACCTTGATCAACTGCAATTCTTGTTCATTAGTCAACAAAGATGAAATAATTACTGGAAAAGATTCATTCTCAAGATAAACATATTTCAAATTAGAGGGTAGTGCTTTAAGTTCAGTTTTTGATTGAACTGTTTCTGATAGTGTATCTTCTCCCTATTCTTCTTTTTCTAAGGTTTTAGCTTCTTTTCTAATTGTGGCATCCTCATCATTAGTCGTGCCAGATTTTGCTAAATATTTTTCCAATGAATCTGAAAATAACTGATCATCTTTGTATTAATCTGCAAGATCATTAAGCAGGTCAATGGTAAAATAAGAAGATGATGAGTCATCATCAGGATATCTCATCATCTTTTGCATATCAAAAATTACTTTCTCCTCATCCACTCTCAAGATCAATTGTCCTTGATGTACATCTATTATGGCTCTTCCTGTAGCTAGAAAAGGTTTACCCAAAATAAGAGGTATATCAGTATTTTCTTCTATTTTCATGACTATAAAGTCTACTGGGAATACAAACTTATCAACTCTAACAAGAACATTTTCAATGATTCCTTTTGCCTTTTTTGTACTTTGATTAGCTAACTGTAAAAAAACAACTGTATTTTTTATATCCCCAAGTTTCGACTTTTGAAAAATTGAAAAAGGCATCAAATTGATTGACGCCCCAAAATCACATAAAGCCTTTTCAAAATGAGTTCCTCCTACAGTACAAGGAATAGTAAAACTACATGGATCTCCAAATTTTTGTGGAAACTTGTTTTGCAAAATCGCACTGTATTTTTCTGTTAGCTTAACCACAGAAGTTCTCTTAATTCTTTTGCTGGAAAGAATTTCTTTTAAAAACTTAGCATATGATGGCATTTGGGTCAGAGCATCTGTGAAAGGAATATTGATATACAATTGTTTCAAAATTTCCAAAAATTTAGAAAATTGTTGATCAAGTTTTTCCCTTCTAATTTTCTATGGAAAAGGAATTGGCTCATCACTGGTATTTTCGTTACTTTCTTGAGCACTCATTTTCTTTGTCTCAAATTCAGCTCTTTTCTTGCTATTATCAACAGTTTGATTCTGAGCTTGATCTTCCTTTAACTTACCTTCTTTGTCGGGGTATGGATCATCAAGATTTTTACCTGATCGCAAGGTAATTATTTTGACATGTTCTTTTGAATTTTTCTCTGTATTGCTGGGCAATGGTCCATGGATCTTTTCAAAAATTATAGTGGCCAATTGACTTACTTGAATTTCCAAGTTTTTGAAAGAAGCATGTTGACTTCCCATCTTCTCATGAGTTGTTTTGATGTACTTGTACATCAAGTCTTCCAAGGTTGGTGCATGTTGTTATGGTCTAGGTTGATATGGCCTAAAATTTTGTTGCATCCTGTTTTATCCTTGAAATCCAGGTGGTGCTTGTGTTGGTAGTTTCTGAAAATGCTGAGCATTTTCTGCTCCATTGGGATTACTCTATTGGAAACCAGGGTGCTTTTGGGCCAGAGAATTACCATATTGGTAGCCTTTGTATCCAATCATGTTCACTTGTTCTTCAACTTGATTGCTCGCTTGGCATTCATGGTTCTGATGATTTCCTGCACATATATCATAATTTTCAAACCCAATATTTTGCTGAGAATTTACCTAAATAGTATCAAATTTTTGAGTCAAAGAAGCAATTTGTTTTGACAAGGTTGTCAGGACATCAGATTGGTTTATGGCTGCAGCTTTCTTAAGGATAACTCTGTTAGATAGCTATTGAACTGCATTTTCAGAAATCACATTTAGTAAATGTAAAGCTTCTGTAGTAGTCTTTCCTATTATGGCACCTCCAGCTGCAGCATCTATAACATTTCTTGTTGATGGCTTTAAGCCATGATAAAAAATATATAATTACATGTGCTCAGGGATATCATGATGTGGGTGTTTCTTAACATAGCTTCCAGTCTCTCCCATGCTTGGTAGACTAACTCTGTGTTAGTTTGCATAAAATTAGTTATGTCCTGCCTCATTTTAGTGGCTTTAGCTGGGAAAAAATATTTATTAAGAAATTTTTGAGTCATTTGGTCTCATGTTGTAATAGATCCTCTAGGTAAACTACGTAGCCATAATTTTGCTTCTCCTTTTAAAGAGAAGGGAAACAAGCGTAGCTTAATTGCATCTAGTGAGACACCATTGTATTTTGCTGTTTCAACCAATTCAAGAAAATCTATCAAATGAGTATGAGGATCCTCATTGGTTTCTTCATTAAATACACAATTTTGTTGTATGGCTTGAATTAAGCCAGTTCAGATTTCAAATTATTAGCGGCCACTAGTGGCCTTCTAACACTTGATTCACAGTCAAACTGATCTGTTCTGGCATAATCCCTTAGGATCATGTTTGCTGGCCTGGGGGCCACTTCATCAACTTATTTTCCCCGCACATGTTTGAAAGCATTTGCTTCTACCCATTTTGAGAAATAGTCTGTTAAAACTAGCAGAAACCGTACCTTTAGCTTGAGGCAATAGCCCTAAGATATCCATGCCCCATTTTATGAAGGGCCATGGTGAAATAACTGAATGCAACAGATGTGCCGGTCAGTGCATGTAATTGGCATATCATTTACATTTATCGCACCTAGCTACAAAGTTTTCTGCTTCTTCTTCCATTTTTGGCCAATAATATCCTGCTCTTATTAATGTTTTCACCAACGATCTTTCCCTGACGTGATTACCGCAATGCCCCTCATGTACCTCTCTCATTACATACTCCGTTTGTGATGGACCGAGGCACCGTGCCTAAGGTCCACCAAACATTTTACGATATAAATTTTCACGAATTAAGCAATATCAAGCAGTTTTCTGCCATAGCAATTCTGACTTCCTCTTATCTTCAGGAAAGATATCATACTGCAAGAAGTTCACAAATTCGTTTCTCTAATCCCAAGTTAAATTATTAAAATTTACCTCATTTTGGATTTGATCGAGTGTCGAATGAAACAAATCTATCACAATGAAATTTTCTGCATTTGTTACATTCACGACAGACACGAGATTTGCCAATGTGTCTGCTTCTGCATTTTTCTCCCTAGGTATTTGCACGACTTTCCATGTCTGAAATTATCCAAGTAATTCTCGTACTTTCCCCAGGTATTGCTGCATTTGTGTCTCTCTTGCCACGTAAGTCCCCTGTATTTGATTAACCACCAGTTGTGAGTCACTTTTGATCACAATTTATCCGATACTAAGTTCTCGTGCCAATTCCAAGCCTACAATCACGGCTTCTTACTCTGCCTCATTGTTAGTGGTTGTATAACATTTTATTGCTTGTCTTATGACTTCACCTGAGGGTGGTATTAGAACAATTCCTAAACCTGCTTCTTTAACATTTGAGGAACTGTCAGTAAGCAGAGTCCAAGTCCCTGGATTAGCTCTGGTAAACACCTGTAGTTCTTTCTCTTCCTTAGGAACTAAATCCGTACTAAAATCTGCTACTAAATCTGCTAACACCTGCGATTTTATTGCAGTCCTAGGCTGATATATGATATCAGACTCACTGACTTCTATTGCCCATTTAGCTAGTTTACCTGATAATTCCTATTTATGTAGTATATTTCTTAAGGGGAAAGCAGTTATAACAGAAATAGGATGACATGTATAACAGAAATAGGATGACATTGAAAGTAAGGTCGTAACTTCCTAGAGGCCATAATTAAAGTTAACGCGAGCTTTTCTAGGTGTGGATACCGTATCTCAGCATCTAGTAAAGATTTACTAACATAATAAATTAGGGATTGTTTACCTTTATCTTCACGTACCAACACCGCACTTACCGCTACTTCTGACACAGCAAGGTAAATGAGAAATCTTTCATTGTCTTTTGGTTTGGCCAATAGAAGGGGGTTTGATAGACATGACTTTAGGTACTTGAGAGCTTGCTGGCACTCGTCAGTCCATTCAAACTGGTTTTGCTTCTTCGGCACTAAAAAGAATTTAAAACTTTTTTCTGATGACTTTGATATAAACCTCCCCAGAGCTGCTATCCTGCCTGTTAATCTATGCACTTCTTTCTTGCTCGTGAGTATATATGGTATCTCCTCAATAGCTTTGATTTGTGTGGGATTCACTTCAATACCCCTGTTAGAAACAAGAAAATCGAAAAACTTACCTGACACCACGCCAAAAGTATATTTTCCCGGGTTTAACTTCATGTTGTACTTGCGGAGAATCTCAAAGGTGTCTGACAAGTGTTGAAAATGATCCTCTGCTTGTGTCGACTTGACCAACATATCGTCTATGTAGACTTCCATAATTTTTCCTAGATGTTCTTGGAATATTTTAGTCACCAATCTTTGATATGTAGCTCCAACATTTTTCAAGCCAAATGGTATTACTTTGTAACAATAAGTCCCTGTGTCTGTTACAAGCAAAGTTTTTTCTTCATCTATAGGGTTCATTTTTATTTGGTTATAACCTGAATATGCGTCTAAAAAATATAAAAGTTCATGACCTGCAGTAGAATCAATTAATTAATCTATATGTGGTAAAAAAAATAAATCTTTAGGACAAGCCTTATTTAAATCAGTATAGTCTACGCAAACTCACCATTTTCCATTTTTTAGAACCACAACGGTATTGGCTAACCAGTCAGGGTACTTTACCACTCGTATTGAACCAATTTTTACATCTTTTGTACCTTATCCGGGATCACTTGATTTTTTAAGGACCCATGCTTTATTTTCTTCTACTTAACATGTGGGTGTGAAGGATCCTCATTCAGCTTATGAGTCATCACCTCCAGTGGTATACCTGTCATATCTGAGTGCGACCAAGCAAAGCAATCTGCGTTAGCTCGTAAAAATTCAATTAACTTACCTTTCATTTCTGGGCTTAAATTTGCTACGACGTAAGCTTTTGTCTGGCTAGTGGGAAATAATATTATAGCTTTGAGCTCCTCGGTATTTGTTTTAATATTTTTATTTTCTTCTGGCTCTTGAATAACATTGGGTCTCAAATCAACATCAGTCTGTCCTTGCGTGTCTTCTGTTGAGGTTTTCGCAACAGTGTCCTCAATCGAATTCTGTAATTGCTATTTCGCTTCTGCATTATTGGCTACCGTGCTTGCGATCACCACTGAGTTGATACTTCTTGAAGCTTGTTGATCTCTACGGATTTGACAGATTCCCCATTGTGAAGGAAATTTGATAACTTGATGCAATGTGGAAGGGACAACATCCATATCATGAATCCACGGTCTTCCTAGAATTATATTATAGGCCATGTCCAAGTCTATCACCTGGAACCTTGTATCCTTGACGACCCCTTCTACAAATGTGGTTAGTACAACTTCCCCTTTTGGTATAACACTTGAATTATCAAACCCGGACAAGGACCACGCTTTTGGTACGACCTTATCATTAGCTTGCATTTCATTCACTACCCTCAGTAAAATGATGTTCACTGAGCAACCTGAATCAATCAAAACTCGTCTTACGTTAGTATCATGTACAAGTAAAGATATTACCGGTGCATTGTTGTGAGGAATCATCAAGCCGTCCGCATCCTCATCATCAAATGTTATACTGTCGCTATCCAAGACATGGCGAACTCGCTTTCCCTGAGTGACCGTGACTTTTGATGTCTTTTTTGTGCATGTATATGTTACTCCATTGACCTTATCTCCCCCAATTATTACGTTGATTGTTCTTTTTGGTGATGGAGATTTTTGGGGGCTCTTGTCTGTTCTTTATGTATGATTGTCTTCCTTTCTCATTAAACAGATCTGTAAGATAACCCTGCTTCAACAAATGCTCGACCTCTCCTTGCAGAAGCCTACAATCTGTTGTTTTATGGCCATGATCATTATGAAATTCGCACCAAAAATCTGGATTTCTTTTGCTTGGATCTGATCTCATTTCTTAGGACATCGCACCTTATCCCTCATACCTATTAAAACAACTACTAACTCGGAGGTTCTGATGTTAAAGCTATAATTTCCTATTCTTGTTTGCGTATTGGAATCATTGCTTCGGGCTCGTTCCTTTTTGAACCTGGCTGAAGAACTCGTGTATTTTTGCCTTGGTCTTGAATCGAATTGTGCACTCTCCTATTTAGATCTAGAGTTTCGACCTACAGGTCCCATTTACGGCTCGTACCTATTTTACCGAACCTTCTTTCTGATTCTGAACATCTCGATCCAGGCCTATCATCGGTCCTTGGCTGTGCGACCGTATCTTCTTCTATCCGCAACTTCGTATTGTATCTGTTCTACACATCGTTCCAAGTTGTTGCTGGAAATTCTCGCAAACT